GCGAACACTGAACAACTGCTCGTACTCTAAATATGACAATCAACCACAAAATTCCCTTAGCCAGATAACCTTAACATAATCCAAAAAATTATGTAAGTCATCTGTCAATTCACGAGTTTGCTCATAGAGCACTTTGATCTTTAAACTGATGGAGGACTGGAACTTTATCAGCGGCAATCATGGAATATATGTATATAAAACCGAAAAGAAGAAGAAATAGGCGTCCAAACCCTTTTCCAGTCAGCACAATATTGAGTATAACGAAAAACACAACAAAGTAGTTTGATGCAAATAATCTAAGGTGCACTTTACTGATCAAATGAAGCATCGTTTGTAACATCAAGTTTATGCGCTAAAGAAAATAGCTAACTAGCTTTCCTGTGACCACGTTTTCTCTCTCCTTCGAGTTCCTATTCCTATATTCATACGGTATATCTCAAGGAACCTTTCGTATTCTTTGGAATATCTAGCTTTGAATTATTTATGATGGAGAGAGAGAGAGAGTGAGAGTTGAAAACATTTCAATATTATGTGAAAGTCTACCGCGACAAGTCATTTACTTTAGGCACTATTCTTTTTCAGCCGGAGGATCGTGTCTCAGTAAAGGATATTTCACACTCGGAGGACAAGTTAGATCACAAAAGGTAAATGGTACTATATAGATAGGATAGTAAAAGAAAAATTACAATCTGAGTCCCTTGTGAGGATTCCAACCTCAAGCAGTCAGCCCAAATAAGGTGATCCCAGCTGGGTGGAGAGTTTCGTGCACTCCACTCAGTGCTTGTTTATTTTCGCGTCCCGAGGAGAGGTGCAGTGCAGATTGCCCATACTTCGGTCTCACCCTCTGGTACCTCGGCATACGCTCGTATCGTATTTGCTTTTATGTTTTGGGTTTTTGCTTTCTTCTTTTATTTTGATACGAGCAATAAGCCGTTAAATAGGTCTCAAACCCGGAGGCCAGACCCATTTCAGGTGTCGGCTGTAACCACCAGAGGACTGTGACTGTATTCAAGCGGGGATCGTACTTTATTTTATCTACGGCACAGTTCACATTCAAAGTCAAAGGAATACAAGAATCTCCTGCCAGGTTGGAAAGTAT